TTTGCAATTACGAACTGTTACTTAAATAAAGCACTTTAAAGCTAAAAGCCGGAAGCTGGTATATACCAACTTGTAATTGCTTCTAGGTATTTCTGTAAATAAGTTCAACATTTACAGTTATTCTAATCCTGAAAAAATTGATTAGACCAAAACTACCCTCTGCCCCACAAAACCTGTTCCCCCCCTCCCTTCTACGCAAGACCTTTTTCGATGGTGAAGCTACGAGCAACAGGACGGCCGAAGAACAGTTTCTGTACAATTGAGTTCTGACTTTGGCACCCTCAACAAGCTACTAGTAGGGAAAAATCTTTCTTTCACAATTGATTTTCAAACAGATCTGCACATAGGAAGGATTCAATGGAGGCTTCAATGGAGGAAAACTGGACAGACATGGCAGAGCTCTCAACGGCTACAGTGCTACCCCACGACGGCGAGCCTCTAAACCAACGACGACGATCCACTCCAAAGTCTGACTCCCCATTGATGGGTTTCCCACCGGCTACAATGTGACTAGTTTTCTAATATAAAATTTGTTAGATTAAAATATTGAAGGAGTTGCATTTTTAGTTAATTTTACTATATTTGTCACGTTATCATATTAATTAACCATATTTATTACATACTAATATTAATCGTATAAAAATTGTTAGATTAAAAACTTAAAGTAGTTGCATTTTAGTTAATTTTACTACACTCGTTAGATTAAAGTATTTAAGTAGTTGGATTTTATTTGTACTTGCGATTCAATACTTTATAGACTTGTAGACTAGTCACATTTTGACATAAAAGTCATATTTTTATTAAATTTTCATATTACTTACATTTTAATATAATAGTCACATTTTAATTGTACTCACAAATAAGTTTTTTTTGTACTCACAAATAAGTATTTGTTACAAATTACTTACATAAAACTCATGTTTTCTTACATAAAATGATATTTTAGTTACATTTTTATATTAGTTGCATTGTATTTGTACTCACATTTACATAATTGTTAGAATTTAATATTTGTTACATTTTAAGATAGAACGAGGTAGACATTATGTTGATATGGGTAACCTCCAACGCAACCGAAAAAAGGAGATTGCGAAGAACCATCCTAATTCGCGAGGCATAGGTAAAGGATATGTCGGGTCTTCTTCTCAAAGCCGAGATGATTTTGAAACGACTTACGACCGGAGAAATGCGATGTCTGACGCGCAATTACAACAACTATTGGCCCAACGGGATGGGCGGTTTTACCAACAACAACAACAACAACTTCCCAAGATTGACTAAGAGATGGAGGATGATGATGCCAAACAGGAGCTGAGGAGCCGGCGACTGTTGAAGAGGAACAAGGCGACGAGGAAACACCCGACGAGGACGAGCCTGATTCATCCCAACCCGGTAAGAAAGGTGAATCTCATCTTATGAAAAAAAAATACACAAAATGAAAGAAAACGGATAGCAAGAAGTGGTGGACAACTAGCGACCATTGTTCAAAAAATATAAGCTTGGGGATTGCGCAAGGATACGGCGGCGTTGATAGCCTCATAGGGATTTGAAGGGAAAACACCCCGTGGGGTATGCAAAATTAAAAGGCAAGGGGACGCAAACACAAATATCGAGGTTTGCAACTGGACAACCCTATGGTAATGTCTCCTATGATAATTTTCAAACATTTAACTGCTATGTCTGAACTAATTGTTGAAGAAGATTTGTCTTTTATTTTTTCCGAAAGTCTTGCTTTAAAAGTTTATGTTCAAGATTCTTTAAATCCCCAATTTCGAAACTATAGTCGCAGAACGATTGGAAAAGAAGTTATAAGGCAATACATTTTGGAAAAGGATAGATAAAAATGTTTTTCGCCAACTTTGATGGACGTTAGTATTTGTAGTAATATATGGGAGGAAACTTATCGCTTTTCGAGAATTTAATGACCGACACACCGATGATAATATTTAGGTTATATTCTCATCGAGCGTATTTTAACTGAATATAATTTGATTGATAAAGTTTTTTGCTATGGGTTTTGATAATGCTAATAATAACACTGATGTTATACCTAGATTACGTGAATTGTGTGGTCCTTCTACTTTGATGAATAGGTTTTTTCATCAGCATTGTGCATATCATATTCTCAATTTATGTGTAAAAGACGGTTTAACCGCACTAGTTAGGTGGTGTTATGGAGAACGTGAAGGGGAGTATTAGACTGATTTGGGGGTAATAATCAACTAAAAAGCAATGATGTCAATATTTGAGGGTTAGACATGTGAATTATTTGATATTCCAAAAGATTTGGCTATTCGCTGGAATATTACTTATATAACTTAATTGTTGTACTTCTTAGATATAAAGTTCATTTTTTCTGCTTTTTTGAAAGAGCATGCTAACTATATTATAAATCCGGCTGAGATATGGGAAAAATTTGCGAGGTTTTAGTTTTTTTTAATAACGCAACTCTAACTTTTTGTCATGTTTATAAACCTATGACAAACCAATTTTTTGTTGAAGTTGTTAATCTCGTCAGTGCTTTTTCTGAATTCCAACGAGCCGATTAGTCGATTACGTTCATTATTTATGTGACTATATGACAGAAAAGCTTTTAAAATATTATACATATATTCCGCGTATTTATGGTATTGACTTTGTTCTTGATCCTCGTTTCAAACTACATGCTTATAAAATTGTAGAGTACTATTATAGCTGTTTTTCGGTCCATTACATATGTACGAAGGGAGGCCCGACCCATAGATTCTAAAGACCAATACAACAAGATTAGTAACTTACTTCATGAATTATTTAATGAGTTTCATGCCCAATATGTTAACGCACCCCCTCCCCCAAACCAACTGCTTCTTCATCTAAAGGAAAATCTCTTTTCAAATCTACATTTGGTAATCTTATGAAAATAAATAAATGGTGGAAGAAAAATAAGGAATGATCTCGATCTTATCAAAGATGGCCAAACAAATGCTATCAATGTCGGTGTCAACCGTAGCCATGGAACAAGAATTTAGCGAATCCGACAACGTCTTCACCCACTATAGAACAAAATTGAGCGCGCAATCTCTTGAGACGCTCATTTGCTTTCTTGATTGGTTGAAGGCACAATGTATAGTTCAAGAAGTTCACATCGCCCCCGACCGCTACTTAATGGAAGAAAAAACAATTGATGCTGACGGAGATTCCAACAGAATTTCACCAAATGTATATAAGGCTTGAAATTATTTTCAATTATCAATTGTACTTCATATTTTAATAAATATACATTGAATTTTTTGTACCATTTGTGAATTAGTTAACAAAAAAAATGACCCGACTCGGGCCCGGGCCGTAGCTCGGCCGGGTAGCCCAACCCAGTACCTGATACCTACCCGGGCGGGCCGGCACCGGGCCTCACATTTTTGGGAACAGAGCCCACCAAATCCCGGTCCAGAGCCCAGCCCGACCCCGACCCAATCCACCCCTACTACACACTAGTGACACTACAGCCCCATGCTCCCTACACCCTCAATTCTTTGATCTTAATTAGCTACTACGTACAATAATAGTGAAAAAAACGTATCCAGGTTTATTAACACTGGCTTATATGTTTGGTAAACTTGTTAGCTTTAGTTTCCTCACATCTATGCATACATGAAGATTATTTCATCAATCCACGACCCGAAAGATACATGAATTATCAATTCGTGACCTGAAAGATGAGATGTATCGGTATAGGACCCGAATGATGAAAAACTATCAATCTAGGACCTAACATTTCATAGGTTTTGATTTATTTAATTTTTTTTTATTTATTCCATTGCTAACATTTGATGATTTTTTCTTCACAAAAGTTTATTGGTTTAATAAAACTAAATAATATTTAATTTTTTTAAAATAAAAAAAATAATGAAATTTATGAAAATTTAGGTCCTATATTGATAGTTTTCAATCATTCGGGTCCTAGATTGATAATTTTCCATCAGTCGGGTCCTATATTGATACATTTCATCTTTCAGGTCCCGGATTGATAGTTTGTGTATCTTTCAAGTTCTGGATTGATAAAATTCCCTTTATATTGGATACTCACTTCGTCACATTCAAAGATTCTCACTTTCCTTTTCTGAACGTCTCACTTAAAGGTTCTCACTTTCTATTTTAGGAAACAATTAACACTCTTAAATACTCCTTCCGTCCTATTGGACTTTGCCAACTTTCCCTTTTTAGTTGTCCCAAAAAACTTTGCAATTTTTCTATTAAAATAACTAATTTGTGGTTCTTCACATTTCTCTCTCATCTGCACAATTCTCAACCACACAGTTTTTACTATTCTTATTTCCCACCTACTTTGCACTTGGCAAAGTCCACCGGGATGGAGGTAGTAACAATTTAATCATCAAATATTAAAAATAATACACTTATAACATTACAATTATCATCAATAACTCACTATATTATATACTCATCAAATTATTTCTCAAAATATATTCGAATTATGACTCACTATATTATATACTCATCAACATTACACGATTGTTTAGATAATCGTGTCATTTTGTCATTTGGACCTTTAAACGGGACGGAGGTAGTAATATTTGTTTTATAATATTTGGTTTAGAATTAATAACATTTTTTGTCCTACGAGTTTTATGACAATTCCACATTTAGGTCACGCCTTTTACTTTGTTCACCACTTAACTAGTTTTTCATTGACCATTTTTTTATGCATCTCCGGCGATTTTAAGTTAAACCACCGGAAAAGGACCATATGTGGGCGAAAAACAATAGTCAGGTACCAAAAGTGGTTAAAGTAAAAAATGTGGACCAATTGTGGATTTGGTGCAATACTCGAAGGACTAAAAGTAGAATTTATTCTTTGGTTTATACTCCCGCCGTCCCATTTACCTGTCCTACTTTCCTTTTTGGGTTATCCCAAAATAAGTGTCTCCTTTCCTTTTTTGGAAAGAAATATGTGGCCTACACTATTTCACTTTATTATACTCAAACCTCAACCATAACTTTTACTTTTTCAACCATTTCATTAATAACCGTGTCAAGTCAAACTAAGACACATAAAATGGGACGGAGGTAGTAATAAAAAAAAACAGGGGGCATTCCACCTTACATCACATTCATAATAAAACCAAGCATCCTGATCTGCATTACAGCATCTGCTCTACTAAACTAAACATAAAAAATGTCCCAAACACAGCAGAAACTAAAGTATACAACATCATCAAACACAAAATCTCTATCTGCAAAGAAAAGGCAGTAACATGCTTATGTGAAAAAATGGTCTCATTACTGGCTTTCCAGGCTAAGTATACTGTTCCACATACATTCAACCTGGCATCTTTTCTCATTACTCTTGCGCCCCGAAATTGCTCCAAACACATCTTAACAGAGCTTAGAAGTCTAGAGGTGTTCTTTACCTTCATCCATTGCCCATCATTCTGTCACACTTCCGTTGTGAGTGGAAATCGTGTATTAGATGGGGTTATTTTTGAAGGACTTAACTGCTTAAAGGGAATGGTTTCAGGATCAAAATCTCTAAACAAAATGTTCAATATCATATATGGATCATGACTCATGTTAAAGGTGAAGGGAAAATTATAAAATTTCAGCTGAGTACATCATTAATCAAGTGAAATAAAATGATATAGCAGCTATAAAAAGAGGACATATATGTAACATAAACGTACACATAGTTTAAGGTAAATGTTCGGTTCACATGTGTTATGTTAAGACCTAATACGGTAGATATTTGTCTCAAGCATAACTGCTTTCTACGCCAATTGAGATGATCTGCCAAGGCTTATCCATGACAACTTTGAACAAATAAAAAGATGGAATTAAACAAAACTGTTGAAGAAAATAAGAGTGAATAAACTAAATCTAATTGTTGAATAAAGTATTAGTTTAAGTAGTTCAACTTACGAATAGTCACTGTTGACCATCATGTGCAATGATCTTCTCTGAAATCTTCATCTGCCATATTAAACCTAGTTAGTAATCTTGTGTGAAGTATTAGGCAATTAGGAAAAACATTTGCACAGTCGCAAAAGTAAAGTAGGAAGAATATTTAAGGTAAATTTAATAGCAAAGGGCTGGAAGGTTATTGGAGTAACGAGTGTATATAGCTTCACATGTACACATATCATTTTATAGAAAACTAAGAAATAACCTAAAATTTCCTTTGTTTCTCCATTTTGGAAGCTTCGTATAAGGAGGTAGATAGGAGTATAAGAAAATTCATGTTAACTTCATTATTGCAAGTAATATGCTAATATAATATTTTATCTATTTCCTTGGTCCCTTCCCATTTTAACATTTGAGAGCTACTAGCCTACTATTAGAGCACATTCTTAAATCTTAACCCCTTTAAACCAAACACATGCTTAGTTGGATAGATTAAATTATTAATTCGTTTCCTGAATAGAAAAACTAACCCTATCATTTCAATAAAAGTTATGTGTTACATTCAACCAAACCCGACGAATTTGGTTCAAGGATGGTGAAGACTGATCTACATACACATGTGTGCATTATACATGTATTGTTTTACGGCCTTAGTTGATCTGTTGTGCATTATAATAACAATCATATGCTTCTAGGGGCTTTGGAGTTTCTATGGCTTCACCCTTTCCTCTCTCTGTTTTAGGATATAAAGCTAGGTGATGTTTGAACTGCCCGCACCAATACTTATCTTAGGACAAATGAAAGACTAAAATTTCCGCACTGCAATGAGATCTATTTGGTTCAGACTGGCAAAACTTAAGATAAGCACAAATCTAGGGTTTACAAAGATTATTCAGACAAATATTTAAGTAGATAATAAACAGGCATTAAGGGGGAACCGATGAGGTCAACAGAGCCTCTTCAATTGCCATAACTTTCGCTATACAATTGTATAATCAATGATGATATCTCCAAGTGCAGTCATCAATGTATTAGAAGAAAAAGTAATTGCTCCCAATAGGAGTAAAACATAGCACATTTCCCTAAATAGGAGTTAACTCCTAATCTTCCCCAAATAGGAGTAAACATTAATTTTTACCCCTAATATGATAGAGAGCAGAGAGATCAAGGGGCGGGAACGGGCTTGGGCCCACCTCCGTGGGCTGGTTGTGGGCTAGGGTTATAGTTTTTATTTATTATTATAAAGTTTATGCTATGTTTTCTAGTTTGGGCCTATTATTAGTAGAGTATTTAGTAGAGTTAGTATGGGCCTAATTAGGATTTAATTAATTTGGGCTTGATTAGGGTTTCTTGTAGAAGGCTATTTATATCCCTCGCCAGGGTTTATCTGGGAATAAAAGTTGGTTTAGCCTTTTGACTCTGGGCAACAATATTTTTTATCGTTGATTATCTGGGCAACGGTTTACCCCATTGATTTTTATTTTCCGGTTCACAACAATTGGTCCGACCTGCCGGATCCCGTTTGCCAGGATGATGAGATCTCAGATTGACTGCTTGAAAGAGATGGTGGCCGAGCAAATTTGGATGAATCAAACCGTAGAGGAGCACGGCATGCGTCTGGCAGAGATCGCCGCATCCCTGGCAGCGCTTACCAAGGCGTTCGTTCCGCCAGTCACGATGAAAACAAGCACGAACGTGGTTGGCAACCCCACCATATCTGCGCACAGCAGCAACGGACAGCCGTGCAGCGTCACTTCTTCCTTGGCTGTGCTCACAAAGGCTCTCGCACCGCCAGCAGCGGAGGAGAATCCATCGGCGGTGGCTTCACTCGACACGACAGCAACATCCATGTTCGGAACTGGACTGTGCAGCACTTCTCTCACGACGCTGCAATCGTTTGACAGAGAAGACCCGATCGGCTCGGCTGGGTTGCTAGGCTGAGCATCAGTTCGAACTGAACTGTACTCCGTCGGGAAAGAAGGTGGCAGCCACTGTAGTTGCGATGGAAGGGTCAGCCCTATACCGGTTGGCCTGGATACGGGCACGAAAGCCGGGCATGTCATGGGATGAGCTTACACAGGCGTTGATGGCTCGTTATGACTCACGGTTTAAGGGCAATCGCTTTGAACGGCTGTTTGGAGTCAAGTAGACAAGGACCGTGGAGGAGTACATCTCAATTTTTGTTCAACTAACAAGTCAGGTCCCCCGAGGCTATCTGACGATCACTATTTGGGGTATTTAATGAACGGGTTGAAAGGATCGAGTGGCAGCTTTGCTAAAGATACTGGGCAGCCCTCGGGGACAAATGTGAGCCGGTTTCCGGATTCCAACCTTGAGGGCAAGGTTGTTTCGAAGGAGGATGGATTGATAGAGAGCAGAGAGATCAAGGGGCGGGAACGGGCTTGGGCCCACCTCCGTGGGCTGGTTGTGGGCTAGGGTTATAGTTTTTATTTATTATTGTAAAGTTTATGCTATGTTTTCTAGTTTGGGCCTATTATTAGTAGAGTATTTAGTAGAGTTAGTATGAGCCTAATTAGGATTTAATTAATTTGGGCTTGATTAGGGTTTCTTGTAGAAGGCTATTTATACCCCTCGCTGGTTATCTGGGAATAAAAGTTGGTTTACCCCGTTGATTTTTATTTTTCGGTTCACAACATAATACCCTCTAGTTAATTATTCCCCCCCCCCCAATTTCCCTTAGGCAACCAGGGCAGTCCGTCAGTGGCGGGGCAGGGCGTTGGTAGCGGGGGCAGTTCAGTGGTGGCGGAGGCAGACGGCAGCGGCGGCTGGCAGCGGAGCTCCGGCGACCGGCGGAAGTTGTGTCAGAATGGCGGCAGAAACATTCTGGGATTTTTTTGGGTGGTGGCAGATTCCGGTCGGCGGCGGTGGCCGAACTGATGGCGGCGGCAGGACTGATCTGGAGATTTTTGGCGGATTCCGGCGGTTGGCAGCAACTCAGGTGGCAACTCCAGCAGGAGTGGTCTTGTCCAAGCTTTAAAGAATACTCAATACTCCTAATTGGGAAATTTTACACTCACTCCTATTTTTTGCACTTTCTATATGTTTTGCTCCTATATGGGGAATTCTCTCCTCCGTACAAAATTGCTAAACAAATCAAAAGAAAATTATCGAAAGAATACCAAATAATCCAACTTATGCATATGTAAAACGGGCGGGTCTATCTCGCAGCTAAAAACAGACCAGAGAAACAGTAGTCGCAATCAAATGTGACTTGATTTTTGTTTGTTTATGAAGCATATATTTTAATTTAGTAAAATCCCCATTACAATATCACAAACTATCGAGGTGTCTGTTTGCAGGGACAGTGAATTGTTTTCATTGGAATATGAAAGATGGTTTTGTTTTATTTTCAAATGTTTGGGTTGTTTAAATTTAGGAAAATATTTTAAGAAAAGTCCACATTCCAGAATAGAAGAGATCAAGAGAAAATATTTTCAAAATATTTTCAAGAGTCCACATCCAGTGCAAATTTTCAAATTATTTTTACATGAATTTAGTTTTTACATGATCCTCCATTATATTTTCCCAAGAAAATAGTTCCACTGAAAACATTTTCTATGAAATTATTTTCTACAGACAACCCTAAACAGATGAAGTAAACATTAAAAAATAGGAGGACCATTTAGATAGCACATTCCACCTAGACATAAATAAATGCCATAGAAACAGGGAAATAGCAGGAAACCTGCGGGCTGCGGGAATATAGTCAACAATAATGCTCGGAACTTGAGAAGAACAATGTTTCCATCTTGGATCAGTTCTTCAGCTTGGGAAATGGCATTTTGAATGGCCAAAAGCTGCTCCACAGTGTTCATTTCCGGAGGAGCTAATACTTTGAGTTCATCAGCTGGCCTACCTTGGCTAGTATAGCGAGTAACATAAAAACCGCAAAAAAAGCTAGCAAGGCAGCAGAAGCATATCTGATATCCCAGCCATCCCCTGCAAGAGAGCTATTTCATTATTTCTACCAAGTTACAATTAATAGATATTACTTGTACGTAAAATATGCAAGAAAACATTTATGCACTCTCTCCATCGGTCCATCCCAACTTCATCCAAAAAACTTCATCCATTTTTTGTCATAAAATAGTGCTCCGATATACAAGTAAATCCATTTTTTATTGACTGTAGTAGAGTGTTATCATCTCAGCACACCCAAAGTTGAACACAATCACTCAACACTATCTTCAGATAATAACTTTATAATCACTCCGTCCTGAAAAGAAGTTATCACTTTCGTTTTCTGGATTCACAAAATGAATATCCATTTCTAGAATATGTAAGGATCATACTAGTACAAGGGCAGTAAGACTGTAAGACGAAGAATCGTTGGTTCTCTACTTAGTTTGGGTCTAGTCTACTCCAATATTCAAATGTGAAGTAAACATCAACGTTAGAATTTTTTGGGGGGTGAGTTAGCAGAAAATGAGGCAGTCTACCTTTCCATGCCAATGAGGTACTTGTCATAGATAGATAAATGAAGTCTATAATCTGTTGATGAAGTAAGGACGGGGAAAATGCTATCACTGACAATCACATTGGCAATTATGGGAACTGCAGATAAAATTCTGAAAGGCTTCTCCACACCAACAGTGGCTTCGTCCATCTGCAATTAAAAAAATTACCCAAACCAGTATCTGGTCAAATTTTCATCCAACCATGGTGACACCATGGGATTTGAGAAAAAACTTCAGCAGGAGAAAGTTTTCATTTCCCAATACCTGAGGCTTGATTATGTTTCTTGTCCCTAGAAATATAATGTTAGGTGTTTTAGAACCTGTAAAATCATTTTGATAATCATCCTTGTAATTTATGTGGTTTTTTGGTCAACCTCTTGTTAAAGAACAGGTGTGCTGCACAGAACTCCTCCATGTCAACTTTCTGTAACTGGTTGCAACATATAGCTAGGGCTACTAGAAACTCACTATTTCCCTTCCAACTTATACCTTTCTGACTCTAGAGAAAATATTAGGCGTTCTTTAAAAAGAGAGGTAGGGCTAGATTAGACTTATGTGAGGCTGGCGCCATATAATCACTTAAAATGGAATTTGACAGACTCAAAGAGGAACTAAAAAAAGGCATAAATTACAAGGATGGGTGACATAAATAATACTTTTACAATGACCTAAAACTAAAAGCCCTATATTTACTACACGAAATAAACAAATGATTGACACATACACTGGCAGATGCTTGACTTAAAGCGGCGGGAAACTCTCACGCAACCATCACATCAAATGTAAGACACCAGAAACTTCGGTCACCTAGATACCCATTTACATTTACAGACAATGCCAGAGCCTTGAGCTACCTTGTTCACAAGGAAGAAATTGAAATCATCATCACGCCCAGCCAAAACCTAATCCGTTCTATCCCATCAAGCAAGTACGGCCCTTCCATCTAGTCTATTTTTGTGTTTGCATGCAAATTTTTTGTTCTAAGGCTTGGATGTTGTATACATAAACACCAAAAAATTGGATCTTATACACAAAGGAAAAGAATACAACCTGCTGGTGAAATACTCAGTTGAATATTTATTCTTCTGGTATCATCTCTGTTTCCAGGCCAAATGGCACACAATTCCTGCTGTTTATTAGTGATTATTTTATTTATTTATTCCTTCTCTTTGCTGAACGACAGCCACATTTACTCTACTAAATCCGACTTCCTTCTTTCCAACTGGAGAGCTTATCCACCGTTCCATTAGTTTTCCTTTAGCTTTCTCAAGAATCCTTGCACGATCTTCTATTCTTCCAGCGATGGCATAGGCACTGGAGAGAGTTACCGAATCCGCTGGATGTTCATCAAACCTCTGCTCCAACTCTCTCTTAACGTCTTCCCCTAAACAAATGTTGCCATACAGTCTGCATGCTGCTAGCAATGTACGCCACATAGTGGCATCGTCCTTAATGGGCAAGCTCTGGGTTAGCTTTTTAGCTTCTTCTAACAACCCACTACGGCCCATGAGATCAATAACACATCCATAATGCCCAATCTTTGGAGAAAATGAATATTTGTCTATCATTCTTCTGAAAAAACTATTCCCCTCAGCCACCAAACCCTTGTGGCTACAGGCACTCAGCACCGCCAAGAATGTGACTTCATTGGGCATGCACCCTTCTTCCTCCATTCTGTGAAAAAGGGAAATGGCATTTTCTGCCTGCCCATGTAATCCATATGCAAAAATCATTGAAGTCCAACAAATAGAATCTTTCCTCTCTATGTTTTCAAAAGCTTCAACTGCCTCTTTCAGAAAACCACACTTCATATACATATCTATAAGAGTTGTTCCCACAGTTGCATCCAACACTAACTGTTGCTCTTTTATGTAGTCATGGACATATCGACCTACAGTGAGATCTCCAGAGGCTTCAGAAACTGAAAGCAGTCCTAGAAACGTTGATGCAATCGGCTTCACTCCATGAAACTTCATTAACCTCAACAATCTGAAAGCTTCACTCATTATTCGGTTTCTAGCATATCCATATATCAAACAGTTCCACATCACAACATCTTTTACAACAGCTTCATCAAAAATTTTACGCCCTGAATCAATGCCACCTATTTTTCCATACATTGAAATCAAAGCACTAGCAACATTCACATTCAGAGAAAGACCAAGTTTGATGCAATGTGAATGTATAGAATCCCCTGATACACGGCCACTTAACTCACCAATGGCCGATGAAATATTCAAAATGGTACTAACACTAACATATAACCCATTACTACTCATCTGTTTATATAAATCTATTACAATGTCATACTTGTGAACCGAAAGATAGCCACCCATTAAGGTGTTCCATGAAACCAAGTCTTTGTCATGAGGGAATTCATCAAACAGTTGTTGTGCATCACGGATCCAGCCACTGGCGCACACGAAATGCAAGAGGCTGTTCATCACATTGAGATAAAAGAAAAACCCAGTCCTCAAAAGAACTGAATGAACACCCAAACCAGTCCTGATTGCTGAAACACGGGCACAAGATTTGAGGGTGGCAATGAAGGTGAACTGATCAAATAACCTCTGTAGCCTCATTTGATTGAAGAGGATAAGGGCTCGTCTTGGGTCATCACTGATTGAATAGCTCCTAAGCATGGTATTGAACATGAAAAGGGTTGGGCTACCTATATGTTTGAAAATACTGAGTACATATGTTGTATCACGGATCGAGCTTGCAAGAAGCTTGCTGAGAGGGAAGGAGACGAGGTCAAGGCCAGTCTTGACCATTAAGCCATGGACCTGACGGATTTCTTGGGATTCTTTGCATGATTGCAGTAGAAAAATGAGGGTCTGAACTGAAGAAAGTGAGGGTTTATGGCACATTGGAAAGAACTTTGGCTATGAAATCTTAGTTCGGTGTGGTTAGGGATACAGAAAGGACTCGGCTCTTCGCCCACAAGCTATCACCTTCTCCATTAGCAGCCTCGGGTACAGAGGCGGCTGTCTAGTAAGTGTTTATAACGGACTAGAAAGGAAGCTACACGTAAGTGTTAAAACATAACCTTATTTTGTTAGGGAGAATTGAAAAATTGAATGTTAGTAACGGAAGTGTTTTCACATAAATTGACAAAAATATCCTCAGCAAAGTAATTAGTCCAAATAACTTAATAGTTGTTGGTGGGTGAGGTGAAGATTCTAAATAAAATGTAAAACATGAAAAAGTGTGGAACTGTTGGGAGAATCGGGTGGGTATATAATATGTGTACTCATACCCCTAACCCTACCTCGCCCTATACCCAGTACCCCTACCCCTACCCTGCACCCCCAATTCCACACCCTTGACCTCTACCCCTACCCTTACCACGACCTTACCATCTACCCCTACTCCTCTACAACCCTTCATACCCACTCATACCCCTAATAACTACCCTACTCATGGGAGTGAGGTCGGGGGAGGGTCGAGGTAGGGTAAGAGGGTACGGGTAGGGGTGGGGTTATGGTCGAGGGTGGTTAAGCGCTAGGGGTAGGGAGTGGGTGTGATGGGGTAAACCGGGGTCGAGGTAGGGGAAGGTGGTAGGGGGTAAAGGGGTAGGGGTCAGGGTAGGGAAGGGTACAAGCGGGGGGTTGCGGGTTGGGGTAGGGTGGTAAGGGTTAGGGGTGGGGGCAGGATGACGGTGGGGTGGTTAATCGCTAGGGCTAGGGTCGTAGTTAGGGGTAAGGAAGGGGTAGTGGGGTATGGGTGGGGTCGGGGTAAGGTAAGGTAGGCTGGGGTATGATAGGGGTGGGGGTAGGATGGCGGTAGAATGGGGTCGGGGTCGGGGTGGGGCCGATGTAGGGGTAGGGTATGGGGTGGGTATGAGAGGGGCTAGGTGGTAGGGGTGGGGTAGGATGGTTGTGGGGTGGGGTCGAGATCGAGGTGGGGCCGAGGTAGGGGCAAGTGATAGGGGGTAGGGTCGTGGTTAGGGGTAGGGTGGGGATGGTGGGTAGGTCGGGGTCGGGGTAAGGTAGCGTAGAGTAGGGGTGGGCAAAAGACCCGGTCCCGTTGGTCCGTTCCAGAATGTTCCGGTTCCGTTCCGAAATTGTCCCGTTATATTTGGGATACATTATTTTTGTCCCGTACCGGTCCCGAACCGTTTTAAAACAAAACAGGACCGGGACAAGTAAAATATATCCCGTTCCATCCCGTTGTCCCGAATCCAAAATTGTGCATAGTACTTTGTAGTAGGTTAGTGAGTTTATTAACAACTCATTATGTAATCCAAATAATAATAGTTATTCTGTTTTCACAACCCAAATACAAATGATTATTAAATACTAGTTGATTAATAATATAACACCTAAAAAACTCTAAACTACCTACTATCACATACTATGAACTATCATTTATCCACAAAAAAAGAAATTGATTTTTACTCTCAAAGTATTCTTTTATCATTTTATTATATATTTCTTGATAGACTTTTGTGATATAGTTTTTTCTGCTGCAACTTTTGTTTCATGCAGCTAATCTGGTAAGTTGCATTTTTTTCTCACAATTTTCTATATTAGATATAGCTTTTTTGTCATAGAGTTTTCTTGCGCTAGTTTTTTTTTTTAATTTTTTCAAATAGCTTTGTTTTGTTTTTGGATTGAAATTGTTTGACTACAATTTTTTGGGATGTCCCGAACCGTCCTGTTTTGTCCCGGTACCGATTTAAATGGGACAGCAAAAGGACAACGTCTTGTCCCATCCCGTTCTGAACCGTTATTGTAAAACGGATTCGGGACCGGGACAACCCAATTCCCGTTCCGTCCCGGACCGTGCCCACCCCTAGCGTAGAGTAAGGGGTTGGTGCAGGGTAGGGGGTCGGGATCGGGGTGGGGCCGAGGTAGGGCATGTGGTAGGGGGTAAGTCGGGATAAGGGGTAAGGTGCAAGCTAAAATTATTTCATCTACTCATCTATTATCTACGGAGCCCCGATCTTCGAAATTGCGTATGGCGCTCACGAGGCAGTTTTGTTCTATGGTGTATGGCGAAAGCCTCATGGCGCAACCGGGATCCGCACGCCGTGCGGGAGAGCGAAAGTCGGGGCACGCTAAATTAGTTCGCGTGGCTGCACGGTACGCCGCACGCCGTGCGGGCGAATTTGCGGGCGAACGTGCGGTCGTGCGGTTCGGCCTGTTTACGAGTTTTTCTATTTAAATGCCCCCAATTTGTCCGTTTTGGGGGGAGGAACTTAGAGAGATAAACCTTAGGTCGATTTTGGAGAGCTTTTCAATCTTTGGATTGTCAAGATTTAGGGATTCTTTGTAAGTTTAATCTTTTTAATTAATGCCAATTAATTTTTTTCCATCCCAATTCTATTGTTGATTCGATTATGAATTGTGAGTAGTTTTAATTAGGGATGTGAGATTGATGAATGGGTTATTCATGGTGTATGGCTAGTTTCTTGATGGTTTAAATTGCATGAATATTTATTTAATTCATTGATGGGTTATTTAATGAATTACCCATTAATGAATTACCCATTAATGACCGATTTGCCCCTATTTTTTTTTTTTGTTTTAGGCTCAAACTTAAACTTTTCGATGTTGACTGGAGTTCTCGAAGTTGACTTAAACTTTTCGATGTTGACTGAAGTTCTCGAAGTTGACTTAAACTTTTCGATGTTGACTGAAGTTCTCGAACTTGGCTTAAACTTTTCGAAGTTGCCTGAAGTTCTCGCAGTTGGCTTATCGAGAATCTGTGCTTCGAAAAGAACCTTTATCGAGAACCTTGGCTTCGAAAACCTGTATATCGAGAAACGAATATCGAGAAGCTCAAATCGAGAACTCAAATATCGAGAAGCACTCTGCAACTGGAATTACGATTGCTTGTAGAATAGATTAAGAGATATCTAATTTATTCTAAGGCACCTTCACACACACTTAATCGTTCGCTAAGAGATTAGTAGCAATTAAGGGGCCGTACGCTCGCTCGTTTTGGCAATGATTTTAGATACCTGTTGCATGAGAGGTCAACCCGGTTCCCTGAATTGTTGTACTCTATGACGTGAGAGCGGTTAGAACTTAGTATTGACCAGTGTTGCTCAATTAAATAATTTTCATGTGATTAAGCCTGGTCAGCCAGAAATCTGATTACCCTGGAATCAATCCTTGTTCCCTTCTGTCATTAATTAGAAAGAACCCATTAGTTAGTCGTTTTTTCGCATTAGTAAATTTTCCAATCAACCCAAATCTCGCACAATTGTGTTTATTTTATTTTTTTAATCGCTGAATTTAGTTAATTCCTGATTCCCTTTTTACGTCCCTTTGGAGACGATACTCGTACTTATATCTTGTACTGCTACATTATTTTAAGTGCGAGAAAACTCACATCAGCTAGCAATGATCACAAGCAGATTTAAGAAACTTCATAGATTTCATGCATTGATCAAACTCAATGTTCCATTGCCGGGGAGACTGATTCAGACCGTATATACCAGGCCTTCCTTAGCAAACACACATAATCACTCTTTTTGGGATCCACAAACCCTTCAGGTTAAGTCATATACGGAGTAGATCTTTTTATCAAGATCACCATGCAAGAAAGCAGTTGTCACACCCATCTGTTTCATTCCCCAATTAAAGTGAGCAACAAGAGCAAGCATGATTCCAACAGTAGTAAGTTTTGTCACAGGGGCGAATATCTCAGTATAGTTTACCCCCTCCTTTTGAGTAAACCCTTTGGCCACTAACCTAGCCTCACACTCTACAACAGAGCAGTTGGGAGGTATGGGAACTAAGGTGCAGGTTTGGTTAACTCTCATAGACCATGTCTCACTATTCATAGCATCTAGTAGGGCTGCACAAGAATAACCCGAATCCGCATAACCCGCCCGACCCAACCCTACCCGACCCTATTTAATCGGGTATTTGATTTTTTAAAATATTCATGGGTTAAATATGTTTGAACCCGCACCTAATGGGTAGGGTTGCAGAATTAAAATCTCAAACCCGATAGTACCCGACCCGACCAAAGTTCATTTTATTATTATTATTATGCTACAACGTTTTCTTGGATAATTTCAATTTAAAACCAATGTGCACTATCTAGGACTTTATGATATTAGAATTATAATTAAACATTTATCATTTTGACTAGGTGATTATTATATATTTACATTTCCTTCTAAATGAACTTCCTTTACGGAAACAAGTTAATCGAGTTTTAAATTGGTTACATTAATTTCCCACATGAAAGATGCAACCCGAAGTGATTTTTTCCCCCAATACCCGACCCTACCCGACCCGTTCAGGCGTTCATGCATGGTTTACCAACTTATTTTGCGTACCGCGGGTTGGTTAATAGCCAACCCGAACAAGAAGCTGTTCTCTTCACCTGATCTGAATGTTTCTGATCTGAATTTTTTAAGTTCTGATCTGATCTGATCTGAATTTTTATGATCTGATCTGATCTGAATCTTTCTGATCTGGTCTGATCTGATCAGAATCTTTCTGATATGATCTGAATGTTCCTGATCTGATCTGAATGTTCCTGATCTGATCTGAATGTTCCTGATCTGATCTGAATCCTTCTGATCTGATCTGAATCCTTCTTATCTGATCTGATTTAAATATTTCTAAAATTATAATTATAATTTTAATTTTAATTATTATAAGAGAAAGGGGTCAAATAAGACCTTCTACTATTCTAAAACCATCACATAAGTCCTTGTACTAAAATAAGTATCACATACATACCTCTACTTCAAAAAATCAGTCAACTCCATCAAATTACCGGAAGACAACCTTAACCAGCCGGTTACCTCTTTTCATTTTCTATTTGCCTTTCTTTTGTGGTTTACTTTTTTCTTTATTCTCTTACTCCGTATTAATGTTCAATTCCTGGTTATTAATTTCTTCTTTATATTTTCTTGGTCTTCACTCCGAGGCGATGTTCCACCTAGGGCTGGCACGGGCCGGGTTGGGGCGGGTAATGCAAAATAAAATGGAACCGC